ATAATAAAACAATTATCAAATTGTCGACTACAATAAGCCACTATTCGGTTATATCAGGTCGTCTGTAATAATATTGTGTTATGTTCGTATATATTTTATAAACTTATATTAGTTTCTAGTCGGGTCAGGATCGAAAAACGAGCGATTTGACCGTTAAGGGTCTGTTTTTAACATATTTTCTCCATTTTTGCAGAGTTTCAAATTTTTTTTTACATTTTAGTGATAAGACTTTTCCATTGATTTACTGCCACGATACCCCCACTCGAGTGGAAGGGGCCGGTTTTAGGTTATTTATGAACGTAAAGTAGTTATACGCCCGACAAAAATGTTGATACCTATTTTCAAGCTACACAGTTGTTCGATTTTTAATATATGTTTGAATTTATAAACGAGTTTACATTGCACTGGTTAGAGCACTTTTTTCAATTTTGTCAAATTATTTACGAAAATAAAACGTTTGAAATTCCTATAGATTTGTCAATATTCAATGGTACGAACAAATTACATGGAAAAGTCAGTGAAAAGCTTCGACTGATGCAAAATAAACTTGTTTTAATACTCGTACATCTTTGTGTTTTTAAAATCGAACCACGGGAATGGAATCACCGCAATATTGTTGCTAGAAATTTAAGGTTTTTTTCATGAAAATTTCGTGATACAAATAACGTGCGGAACGAAACAATTTAATTTTGAGTTTCATTTATAGAAACGTGTATCGAACGCCAATTTTATGATAAAAACGTTTAAAAATATATTACTTCGATAAAAAAATATAATTACAGTATTCAAATCGAATAAAAACGATTCAATGAACAATAATATTCGACGTTAAAATTGGTATACTATAATTGAAATGCCCTTTTTATAACTAAACATAATTGTCGTATATTTTATTGATAATATCGTTTAACTGCGCACTTAATTTTGTTAATAAATCGTAGAAATAATAATTTATAATACAATATATTGTGTAATAAGTAGGTATCCGCTCCGTTATATTTTTTTTGGAATTGGACAGGCACCTACCAAAAATGCAGCCTAAATAAAAAAAAGACGTCCTAGGCGCAACTACTGTTATAGGTAATTTAATGTATACCTGTAAGCAACGATAAACCATTGCTCACGAAAAAACGATTGTGAGCGAAGTTCAGTTGATAGTGATGTATTGTTAACAATATAAATGCCATATTATAGTAAAATAATTAAGTAGGATCTATATATTTTCTTTAATAATATTAGTTTAATGTTGTACCGATTTCCCCGGTTTTCCTATGTTTTTTTACAGTTTTTCACATTTGTTGAGAAAACTCCGGAGAAAATCGAAAAAATGACCTCATTAGGGTACATCCCCGCATCGCTTTCAAAAAAAGTACTACACGTAAAAATCGGAGTCAGTACTCTGGTAGAAAAGTTGTCCACAGAAAAAATGAAAAAAAATAAACATCTTTGAAAAAACAATAAACTTCTTCGCTCCACTCAAAATCTAATAGTATTCGGATTTCGTGAATTTGATTTTGAAATCATGAAGTCCTATTTATGATATGCAATAATATTTTGTATTTTATTACTACCATTATTCTATGATAATATACCGATTGTTATTATTCATATCGAAATCGCCGCAAAAGGTGTGTATGTATAATATATATACCGAAAAAAAAAAAAAAAGAAAAAAAAGAAGAGGTCTGTAAATGTCCATTATATTATTATACCGGGCCTTGTATGTATATATATATATATTTTTTTTTTTATTGCTTTTGAACGAAACATATAATATTTTGAAAAATCGGTTTTCTCGCGGACGTATTTATTTCTTATTTTTTATACGGTTTTACGTGGTTTTTTTTTTTTTATTTCGCACGCGCGAGTATTATTGCCTGTTTTCCCGTATATATATATAAAACTGCAACAGCGCCGTTTATTTCGTATTCTCGGCTACGCGTTTTGACAAAAAAAAAAATACATATCGCGATTTTTATTATTTATCTTGCCGTAACCGACCGCAGGTATACAATACGGGTGCAGCCGGCATAGGTACCTCATATATAATATAATATAACGTATCACGAATTCAAACGACGCGCTGTTATTGTGCGCGCCTCGTAATATTTTCTCCCCGCGATGATAACATAATAATTCGATTAGGCGTACCGACCGGGGCCCGTTCTGGAGCGAACCGTAAACGCGTTTCCGACCGTATTATTGCGTTGTGTACACAAAAGTCCTTTCCGACCGGTCGCGGATCGCCTCCGCAAAAGCCGGCCGCTTCCCGAAATGCGGCAACAACAATGATACGGACGTAAACCGTCGTCGCCGCCGAAGGACCACCGTTCACGTCGCCGCAAATTGGCTGGAAGAGTCTCATCTGTCAAAACTTAATAAGCGAAATTCTTCTCCCCAAATGTGTTTTCACAGAAGAACAAAATAATTACAATATTTATGTTCTCATTCCTAAAAATAAGGAATCGATTCTTTCGTTCGTTTATTTAAAAAAGAAATCTCCTTTGGGAACGCGTTTCTTAACAACACTAGATAATTCTTAAGTATATGTTATGTGTGTTTTATGCGCACAATGAAGTTATAAAGTCACAACCAAACGTAAAGTAAACCTATCTCCCTCAAAAAAAAAAATCCTGGCTACGCCACTGGAGGGGTTAAAACGACTACCCGCTTTTGAATGGCAAATATCTATTTGTGTGCGAAAATTCCGTAAATAAATGAGGTTTTCGTTTAAACAGTAGATTTTGGTGTTAATTTTTTTTTTTGATTTCCCGTTGACGAAAGTTAAAAATTCCAATATCCAAATGAATTTATACTGAAACTTCGCCTGTTTGTGGAATTTTCAAAAATATAACGGTTATAAAACATTTAAGAGCTATTTGCCTTTTTTTTTTTTTTTTTTTAAATCGTCCAAAACAGAAGTTAATATTTTTCGAGATATAACGAATGTCCTATCGAGGATTGATCGCTCTGTATACGGTAGTGGTGTAGCGGTGGCGTGAACAGTCCTAACCGTTTTGGCGGGGATGGTTTACATCCACAAAAGCCCTCTCGTGGCATTGCCTATACAGAAATTAGATAATCCGCACACACTGGTATAAACATTTATGTTTTCTGCGTCGTTTCCGCGACGGGACCCTCGCCGCCAATATATTTAACTAACTCACCCCAGAAACAAGTGTGTGACGGCCAATCGTGTTCCATTTGGAAATGTGTTTTTTTTTCCACTCTTGTCTGCGCGCAATGCAGAGTCCGCAAAACATCACCCTAAATCTTTTTTTTCCAATCCAATTTCGTATACTAATATATTATATTATTGTCGTAGTTACAATAATAATGCAATATAAAGCGATTGTGTTCGCGAAATCTGTTATTACAGTATAAAACTCATTCGTTTTAGATATTTATCAAAAAAAAAAAAACCAAAAAGGGGGGATGCGCGTAGAGTAATGAATTCAAAAATTTGGTTTAGTCGCCTCTATAATATATTACGTGTGTTGTCAAGGGCGGATTCGGCGTCTATTTACGGTCAGGACACTTACCATAGGCGCAATTAGGGGGCTAAACTGTAATTTTTGTTTTTTTTCGAAACGTGTGGTTCTGGTCTCCGCCAGTTTATAGTTAAAAAAAAAAAAAACTGAAAGTAAATACTTGATTTCGGTTCTGGTTGAACTATCGGATTAAACGTAAAAACCATACATTCAAAATTAAATTAAAAATTGATCGATTTTTAAAAATATTAACAAAACATTATATGGTAAGTTTTCGTCTCGTTTGGTCCAGGGATAAAATATATACAGAATGATATTTGTATTATGAACCAGCAATTATCTCGGAAGATTTTAAGTGAATTTGATTTCTGGTTTTAAAATAAAGCTTAAACGATTTCATAATGATTAGAAAATCAGAAATCAAAATATCACCCTGTATACATAATGTAGGTATTAGATACGTTAGCAGATAGGTAGGTAATTAAGATTATTTTCACTCCGAAAGACAAGACGTCATTTAACTGTAAATAGCCGGTGTATAGATAGTAAATATTAGCTGGCATACAGTTTATATACTAAAATCACTATTCCATGACGATTGGTGGTATAGGTATAAGACTATAAGATATACAGAGTTAAACAACCTACATTGCCACTATTTTCAAATTTTTTATGAATCTATATTGTATTTTATTATTCATGGAAAAACGTAATAAATTAAATAAATTAATATGTTCTTTAAAAATTATAATGGTATATAATAATATTCAGCGAAGAAAATTATATGTTGTATTTAAATTTAAGCAAGATCAATAGATGCATATAAATATTTTAAAAAAAATGTATGCTTGTAATAATTAGATCAATTTAAAAAAAAAAAAAACAAAAAATCATTATATATTGGGAACTAAAATCTATTTTTTCCCTTGAGCTTTAGTTTACGCCATACTATTAATTATAGTTGTACGGGTAAATATTAATTTAAATTGCGTTAATATTTGAATGTTAAATTTTGGAGTATTTTGGATTCTGAGTATTTTTTCTGTCGGAAAACTTTTTTTGGGTTATTAAAAATGCTTCGATTTTTTACACCGTACCTTAAAAGATGTAGATTTTTTTCCAGATTGTACTTTGTTAAGAAAATGTTTCTAAATTCTCAATACTTTTTCTTTAAAATTGAACTTTTATATTTTTTTTTTAATGAGTAATTATTGAACGCAGTACCGAGTATGCTGAATCTCCGTCCGGTAGTACTTTATTTGAATAAAATTTCTATAGACTTTTAAACTATGGGAAAGTTTTTTATGCAATTTAACAAAACTATTAAGAAAAATCAAATACATCGGTATTCCACGGTTTTAGTTTTGTTGATTTCTGGGCGATAAGGAGAAAAACTCGACTGTTACTATTTTTCGATTGCAATGATTTTGCAATGATCAATGCTTTCGGTGGATAAATTAAATTATCTTATATCCTATTGTACATTTCACTTAACATACATATTTTTTTTTTTTTTTTTAATTTTAATTATAATACATACAATCTGTAAATACTTTTTACAATAAGCATGTTTGAGGAATTATGGAAAAAAAAAAAAATAAATAAAATAAAAATAAAAAAGGCGAGATCGACATGAGGAAGTAATCACCCAGCGGCAACACTTACTGACTATAGAGGGCTATTATAGGTCACGGTTCCAGTTACGTTTTAACCTTCTAGGTGGATTACCTGGAATGGAATTGGAGTTTAGGGCACGGATTAGTAGATTAGAGTGGTTTGTAAGACGCGCGCGGAAAAGTCTATAGGCATTTTNGAGATCGACATGAAGAAGTAATCACCCAGCGGCAACACTTACTGGCTATAGAGGGCTATTATAGGTCACAGTTCCAGTTACGTTTTAACCTTCTAGGTGGATTACCTGGAATGGAATTGGAGTATAGGGCACGGATTAGTAGATTAGAGTGGTTTGTATTATACGCGNTCCCAATAGGATATTGCGGAAAAGATAATCGAAAAAAATTGTATGATGTCTAATCAATAATATAATACAAGTATATTATTATAATTCATTATAACACGTACCAATATGTTATTGTATGTATGAATAGGCTAATGAGTAAACGATACTGTTTTATAGGATTTTTGTTTTTATCGACAACGTTTCGAAACACCCAATAACAGGTCTAAATATCACCCGAAAATATAGCGGCTTATGTCGAAACTATAACTAGTGCTGTTGGATCATGCGAGTTCTGATACTGGACTCTATATAATCAGCGTCAAAAATCGCATGATCTATGACAATACAATACGTTCAATTTCGAGTATCATCAAAACTCAGATGTTCCAAATCTATACCTCCGCAAACATATTATATAGATAACGACTTAAATCTTAACTTTTAACGAAAGTTTTGAATTATTTCTCATTTTAAATTACGCAATAAAAATACATTTAGGATTTCTCTCTATTGTACTTTAGGAAAATCATTTTCCAGTTTTTTCGTTTTCTGAAAAATGTGACTGTCGGAACATGTGAGTTTTGGTTCTGGTTTACTCGTATAATATTATAGTACATACAATATATAATTAGTATATATTATTTGAGACGTTTTCATCAAAATTAATTAATTTTTTTTAATAAATTATTATGTCGTGTGAACACATTTTTATGATGAGCGTACGATATGCTGCCCCAAACAGATGGCCTGCAAAGCAATGGTGACAATATTATATTAGGTATAACCCCGACAGCTGATCCTAATCTTCCTCTTTTTTAGGTGTCACATAAAGTAACGCTATTTTTAATTGAAAGCCAATAATATTATTATCGTACAACTGCTATAATATACCGGTTCTGCTAATAACATCCGCATTGGCAAACTCAATAAATTTGTTTCGGCGTAATAAATGTCCGCGTGTTATTATTATTAGTGAAAAGACAATTGTGACGTCATAAAGAGGTAAAATAAAGTAAATTTCTCACTCTATAATATTCATACCGGAGTGTAAAAGTTATGGATATTATTATCTGCATAATAATATACAAAACGTGACTATAATAATTCTTACGCGTCTTTGTAAAAATATTATAATGTTTACTATACTGTACCTATACATGTATATATTATTTTGCAATAACACTCGCTTTTTCTGTTGTTTATTGCCAACACTTTTCGGAGCAATAAACGTATACCTACCTATTTTCAAAAACAACCATTCGCAGCAACGTGTTATGTCTTATAAATATGTAGTTAAATGAACACAAACGGTATAATGTATACTATTTAAATAAAATATCGTTATTCGAATTTCCCAGTTTAATGCTCTTTAAAAATGTGAACAACTTTTTTGCCTTTTTTTTTTTTTTTTTCTAAACGACGAGTAGCAATTCCATTCTTTCGCTATTATATTTTTTATTGTTTGTATTTTAAAAATGTACAACACGTTCGTACGTAGAACTGCTCGACTACCATCCGTGGAAAACTGTCGGACGCCTCGGCCGTAACGCATAATAATAGTATACTTACTGATAACAATTTTCTTCAGTTTTCGTCGGGGAGCGGTCGCCCTAGTGTATTAAATATAATAACTATTTATGTTTCCGGTCGTATCAGAGTTCGGTTTTACCGTACCTACACACGATAACGTTTCAATATTACAAACTACAGTAAAATTCGTTATTTGCAGCACAGTTTCTTGAGATAACTCGCTTTTATAGACGCGGTTCATCGGCAGACATGAAATTCACACGCCCGCGTATTATTTTTGAAATAAATAAAATGCAATTTATTCCAACAATGACTTTTAATAAACGAACCGTGAGTATATACACTTGACTGAATGAAAACGTTCGCCGTCCGTCACAAAGGAACGGTTGTAAAATGGCAAAGACGTTAGATTTTCCGAGCATTTGCACGTACCCTCCTTGACTTTCGTAACACACTTTTATAAGTTCATGAGCTTGCATAATGTGTCCTGTAGCTTGTATACGTTTATATAGCTCGATAAAGTCATCCAAGTAGTTTACATATTATAGCGCGGAACGACGTTCGTAACAAAACCCAACATCGATGGCATTTTCGTATTAAACCTTTGTGTTAAATTAACTGCAGTCGGTAAAAATTGTCCATGTAAAGCGAGTACTATTCGTTTAGTTGAGTCATCATTCAAATAATTCACATTTCATTTATTGATTTTACGAAAATATGCTTTTTATTTCTCGGAAAATACATTTTTGACTAGTAAAAATGCTTTTTACAGTCTATCTCAAAAGATGAACATTTTTGTTCAATGGTTCTTTATTTTAGTTAAATTATTTTGAAATTCTCAACTACTACTAGGAGAAAACACGGGAATAATATACTGCCCCGCTCAGAATAGTCTTTCGTTTGTAATGATTTATCGTTGCGTATGTTTCCTACATACTAAATTACATTATAAATCCTACTTTCCCAACTGCCCACCCACAACGGTGACTAACCCAATGTGCGAAGTAATTTATCCAGCATAGTGTAGGTATACGGCAGCGAGAAGAAAATTAATTATGTAAATACAATAAATTATAACACAGGATTAGTTGAAATATTCATTGAAATCAATTTTCGCACCATAGAATAATAATATTATAACAGGTTCAATTTTATGCACGGGAAGCTCCGTAGACATCTATTGGTGACAAGACACTATAATTTTTATGCGGTTGCCTATTCAAAGCCCCTTACGTTATAGTGCTCATCAGTGGCCAAACGAACGCGGTCTTTGAGAAACGGTTGCTTTTCGATTTGTTTTGTGATTCAAGAACGGCCGGGTAATCATTAATAAAATAACGATAATATCAGTAATCGTTTACAGTGTAGACATTTAGTGAAAATAGTTGAACGTTTGGAGAATATTGGTCAATCGAAAAAGGTCAAAAATTTCCAAAAAAAAAACAAAAATAAAAGATTTTTATTTTATTTTAAAATTCGAAAAATATGAAAAGAAATTGTACGAATACAAACATCGCACAGCGACTTTTGGAAAACAATGCAAGTGTGCATTCCGGCCTTAATCATTATAATGTCATCATACGATAATGCATTAGAATCGTTTTAATAATTATTAATATTCCGTGGTGGGCCATCTCTCCCTATGTATATATAGATACATCTATTATAAAATAGTCTGGTAGTGACGTTGGTTTCCGCCACACACACACACACACACCCACCCACCCACCCATACACACGAGACACGATCGAAAAAGATCGCGTTTGTATAATGGACGGGCTTTTATAACGGTCGTTTTTTTTTTTTTTTTTTTATAGAGGTCAGTTTTTCCGATAGGCCCGTAATCCCGCGGAAAAAACCCACCGTCCGGAAATAGGCAGTTATCGTCCGTCGTCGTTACCGTCATAATATTATTATTTAGATTTATTTTGAATAATACAGCGGATTGTAGATTCGAACGAAATGATATAATTGGCTGTTTTATAAAATGTGATTATTTGAATTTCGTAATATTTCTCGTTAATATTATAATAATAAACTTAATAATCATATTGTTCATACACCGTGACCGCGATTTATTAATTTGCATATAATACCTACGCATAACCGATTTCATTTATTAAATTGTTGTGTATTGGTTTTTATTGTTACTGCAGCAAAAACGCGAAACAAACTGCGTTTAAAAAAATTAAAACGCCAATTTTTGAAATCGTTACAAATAATATTATATGTTTTTATTATTGTTAAGGGGATTGAAAGTGACGATTTTCTGTCTTTGTCTTACACACGTGCAACATAGAAATTTAGACGTATTATTATATTTACAACGTACCGATTGGTTTGGTGAAGCTATAGGAATTCTGAAAACAGATTTGAATGTTTTTGTAGAGTCTACTTGATATTGATTTACCCACATTTTTAATTGTATGCCCTTAAATCCTAGAAAAAAAAACCGTATTAAAAAGGACGGACATTATTCGCACGTGGGTGTAGCCACTTTTGTAGGTGAGAAATTAGAAAGGTAGGATACAGACGGGAATTTAAAGATTTGTAAGAAACGATAAACCATTGCAAACGAAAAAACGATTTTGAGCGGAGTTCAGTTGATAGTGTTGTTTTGTCAACAATATATATGTCATATTATGGTAAAATGATTCCAATAATCTGCGTTTTCATGACAAAAATGATTGCTTAAAAAATATTAAAACAATAAAAACTTAATATAACAAAAAATAAATAAATACGGTTGCCAGTAACAACCTTATTTTTAATCTATCAATTTTTTTTTTTAACTTAAAAACCAGGTTTTCCTCATTATCTCGAATATTAATGAGAATTTCAAAAAATAATGTGTTTAAAGTGCCACACAAAGACCATTTTCTTTTAGAAAAGGTGCTATATTTAATAATCGAAGTATGCTTTTTGGTAGAAAAAGTGTTCACATAAAAAAATAAAAAAATAAAAAAATAAAAATAATTGTAAAATCAATACATTCCTCGTTCCATTCATAATCTATAAAGGAATACTTAAATTTTTGGATAAATGGGAATTTTAAAATTTTGAAAAAAGTGAGAAAGACGATGTCAAGTAAACACGACGACGAATTAAAATCTACTTTTAGAATTTATATCGGTAAGTTGGATTTAAAACACGTCTAAATTCCTATGTTACACATATATATGATAGATATGTTAAGACAGAAAAAAACCGCTTACAATCTTCTATAGTTATATTTTGGACTGTTTTTTTTTTTTTTTTTTTTGTAGATTATTAGCTTCATCGGTAGTATTTATATAAAAAAAAAAGTATGCAATTTA